CTATAAATGTTCTTTAATATTACAATCCCTATCATTGCTAGGATTGGGTGCTCCATTATTCGACTCCTCTATTACAACTTTTAGAATAGCCATGGAGTAGTCTTTGTGTCTCTGAACATTTGGTTGTCGATATACAATTTATCCACCACGAGTGCAACACGTTTCCCTTTTAATCTGTTTTCCTTGAAGATTGGATATAGAACTTTGCGCCTTTCTGCAATCTCCCTCGGGAACTGATCATTCATGCCTATTTTCGTGCCAGCAAGTCTTTTCCCTAGGCTTTTAACCATTGCTTTATCTTTAAAAAAAGCAAATTTGGCAACGATTGGGCGCTCATATTTCTGTCCTCTTTTTCCGAAATGGTGTACACGTTCGAGTTGGATTTTATCGACAGCCTCGAGTGGGATTTGTAGCGCTGTATGCAGGAAGTCCTTCATAATATTCTCTGTCATTTCTCCCTCCTTTTCCTGAATACCCGTAAGTACTAGATTTTCTCTCATCGATCTAGTTTGGATGTCTAGTAAGGCTTCTCTCAGAAGGTTGTTCTCCTTTTTAAGTTCCCTAACGTCCGTTTCCATCTTAGAGACTGTCACTTTTAATTTTTTGGTTTCTTTCTCCATTACCAAAGCTTTTTCGTCACTCATTTGAAGACTCTCTTTCAACTCTTTTACGTCCTTACTGACCAATTCTAGTATGCCCAATTTGTCATTTATCGACTTCAACAGGTCGCTTTCCACACTTACCAGACCCAGTGGTGAAAAACATATATCATCTGTATCAGTCGATGAGTCACGTTTCCTCTTGGAGATCGGCTCTCCACGCTTATCTTCCGCCATGTTTGGGTGTTGCGTGTTGTTGTAATATTTGTCGATATATTTCTCTAGCCTTATGATCTGTTTTGTGTTATTATCCAGATTGAATTATATTAACTGCGAATATATGAAATGCTAATATTTAGTCTAACTTACTGATTTTGAATATTATGTTTTTATCTTGAGGTGGTTTGTACCACTTTCTATTCAATACGCCATCTTGTCTACGCGCGCCCCGCCCTCTAACAAGGTATTTGTTGGTTCCTAAAATATATTGTTAACAAATAATGTATTATTCGACTTTGCAACAGTGTGCTACATGTGTTACATTTTTTGTATACTTACTTACTTACCTTTGAGTTCTTTGTGGAACTTAGGCCATCGACGCAGTATGTTTTCATTGTGCACTTGTATTTTGAGCCCTTGGTGGTATTTGTCAGTTGTTAGCCTTAGATTCAGTCATCCATGTTTTCATATCTTCACTGAGGTACAGTGCATTTGGAAAGTATTCAGACCCCTTCACTTTTTCCACATTTTGTTACGTTACAGCATTATTCTAAAATCATCCTCATCAATCTACACACAATACCCCATAATGACAAAGCAAAAACAGTTTTTTAGACATTTTTGCAAATGTATTAAAAATAAAAACAGAAATACCTTATTTACATAAGTATTCAGACTCTTTGCAATGAGACTCGAAATTGAGCTCAGGTGCATCCTGTTTCCATTGATCATCTTTGGTCTGAATGCCAAGCGTCACGTCTGGAAGAAACCAGGCACCGCTCATCACCTGGCCAATACCATCCCTACGGTGAAGCATGGTGGTGGTAGCATGGTGGTGGAGACTAGTCAGGATCGAGGGAAAGATGAACGGAGCAAAGTACAGAGAGATCCTTGATGAAAACCTGCTCCAGAGCGCTCAGGACCTCAGACTAGGGCAAAGGTTCACCTTCCAACGGGACAACGACCTTAAGCACACAGCCAAGGCAACACAGGAGTGGCTTCGGGACAAGTCTCTGAATGTCCTTGAGCGTCCCAGCCAGAGCCCGGACTTGAACCCGATCGAACATCTCTGGAGAGACCTGAAAATAGCTGTGCAGCGACGCTCCCCATCCAACCTGACAGAGCTTGAGAAGAATGGGAGAAACTCCCCAAATACAGGTGTGCCAAGCTTGTAGCATCATACCCAAGAAGACTCAAGGCTGTAATCACTGCCAAAGGTGCTTCAACAAAGTACATTTTACATTTACATTTTACATTTTAGTCATTTAGCAGACGCTCTTATCCAGAGCGACTTACAGTTAGTGAGTGCATACATTTTTGTATGTTTATTATTATTTATTTTTATACTGGCCCCCCGTGGGAATTGAACCCACAACCCTGGCGTTGCAAACGCCATGCTCTACCAACTGAGCTACATCCCTGCCGGCCATTCCCTCCCCTACCCTGGACGACGCTGGGCCAATTGTGCACCGCCCCATGGGTCTCCCGGTCGCGGCCGGCTACGACAGAGCCTGGATTCGAACCAGGATCTCTAGTGGCACAGTGTCTTAGACCACCAAGTATTCAGTAAAGGGTCTGAATACTTATGTAAATAGGATATTTCCTTTTGCAAAAACTTCTAAAAACCTGTTTTTGCTTTGTCATTATGGGATATTATGTGTAGATTTATGAGGGGAAAAAACAATTTAACCCATTTTAGAATAAGGCTGTAAAGTAACAAAATGTGGAAAAAGTGAAGGGGTCTGAATACTTTTCAAATGCACTGTATGTGGGTGTTTCGTACCATCATGGGTCTTTTTGGGAAAAGCCTGTCAGAAACGTCCTTCACAATAATGTTCCTTTATACCACTGAGCTCTACCCAACAGTAGTTCGGTGAGTGACCAATAAACTATATCACATTTGTTCACTTAATGTAATGACCAGTAGTCCTGGGGTGTATTCAGTGTGGTGAAATGTTGTTCACAATGTTGCAGATAGAAATGTAACATCTAGAGCTAACATGACCCCTACTTCACAGACAATCAACTCTGTTCTAAATCATACATTTCTATCTGAAAGTTTTTGTTTTGTAACGTTGTTTGTTGTCATCCTGAACTGGACCCCTTTTGGGTTATGATGTTTATAGAAACAGAAACCCAATATCAGGACTGGTTTGTTGGGTTGCTCTTTAAAGTTGCCTCTTTATAACACACATTGTTGACTTGATTTGATTTGACTTGATTTGATTTGATTTGACTTGATTTGACATTGTTGATTTGAAGTTTCTAATTAAATCACGCTGCTACATTATAAAGAGGTTTACTCTATTTTTTTCTCTCTCACAGATCTGTCCTCTTTTGCACCCTAAATAACTTGTTAGTTTGGTCCCTCAGGCAGAGCGGCATTGACTACACTTTGTTTGTGGGTCGGCCGGGCGTATCCATCGCTCCCCTCATCGCACTATTGGACGATGTTTGGGAGGTCCTCCCTGCTGTAATATATAGCTTGGTGGCTGTTGGTACCGGACTAGTGGCTTTGCTCCTCCCAGAAACACTCAATGTTCGCCTGCCAGAGTTCAAAGAGGACATAAGGTGACCAAGGTAGAGCAGAAATTGTATTTGCTAACACTGTATTTAAAGCCTCCAGCTATATGATTGATTGATTGATTGATTAATTATTTATTTATTTTATTTTAGTGTCATAAACTATTTAGTGCCCAGCTCATATGGGCTTATAACACACTATTCATCAAGTTCTTAAATTGTACATTTATGATGAGGTTATATAATGCATTGTAAGACTTGTCATGAGCCTGGTTATAAGACATTATAAAGGCTCATACATACTTATAACAAGTTGTAAAGCATTATACCTTGATGCTTTAAATAAAGGTTACCCAGTATTTAATCAGTATTCGGAATTGGATGAATGGCCATCTAACATCTAATTGCACCTTTCCTGCTTTGCAGAGCAGAACTGGATTGAGAGAGTGCCATTCCACTGAAGCAAATCACTTCTGATGAAAACAGAAATGGAACAGTTGAAGTTACATGAATCCACACAGAGATTCTATTAAATTACAAAGGGATTCTATATGTAATTCTATGTGAATCCATGTCACTCAGAGAGACGGCAGTTTTCAAGCAAGTGGATGAAAGATGAACACAAAGCAGAATATCTACCTAGAATAAAGATAATGAATGGACCAAAGCATAGATGTACTAGGGCCCTACTAACGTAACCAAAACAACTCAAAACAACCAAAAAACAACAATATAACCATTTAAGTAACATGCATGATAAAATCCTTGTTAACCTCTGAACTATCAATTAGTAATAGTACTTACCTGATTATAACACGGTGAAAGAGCATTGTAAAATGAATTGTAGCCCATTTTTCTCACATGGTCATCAATTAATCTACTGTTTTGTTTTTCATAAATACTGGTGTTGGTGTGTCTTACTATGTGGCTTGGCAATAAACCCATGTTCTATAGATCTGTTTTCTATACTGAGTTACCCTAAGGGTTAGGGTTAGTTCCTTCCTCTTAAACCGCTGTCACGAGTTGGAACTTGTATTTCGGATAATTCGGACAGCATACTATATTCCATGCAGTTAAATACCTTTATTGTGGTGGCATAGAACTAAATATTTTAAAAAATGTGATGCGTTTCAGTATATCTAGCCTTCGCCTCTTTTCGCTTTTTTCTACAAACTTGTGTGGGAACTACCATCATGCTATCAAGTCCTTGTTACCCACCCATTGTCATGGTACAGTGTATGTTTGGCTTGACAATGAGCAATGGAGTTGGCAAGAGCACAAACATAATGTCCTATTCTCATTTTGAACTTAGAAATGTTAACATATTATTGAATTCTAGAAACTTTGAAATTGTGAAATATTCTTTAGTTGCTCAAGCAACTCCTTGCTGTCAATGCGTCACCAATTAATGTAGATGAAGGCATTCTTTCACAAACAAAGGAGGTTTATTTAAGTGGTTTTGCACTGTCAAAGATTGATCCATTTCGGATGGTTTACCTAACAATGAGACAATGGGACCAACAGACAACCTTTAGACTTGGTCAAAGATTATGACATATTTTCTTGGATTCAACGTTGGTAAGTGAATGAGAGAGTGATTGCTGTTGATATTACAAGTCTGTGGACAAGAAGTCTGTGTGGACCAAGTGGAAGACAAAGATGAAGTTTGAACACCTACTCTCGCTTGTCAATGGATTTGGACGGTTCCAGATGATGATCATTATCATCAGCTTTATTGGTCGATTCACCCTGCCGTGTCACTTCCTGCTGAACAACTTCATAGCGGCCGTGCCCTCTCACCACTGTGATCTCAGCGCTCTGGATGATGGCAGCGTCTTTGGGAATCTGACCCAGGAGCAGAGACTGACTGTCAGTGTTCCAGTACAGGAAGACGGGACTCCAAGCTCCTGTAAGATGTTCCCAGAGCCCCAGTTCCACCTCCTGTCCAACTCCAATAACAGTGACCTAGCTACAGTCCCCTGTCAGAATGGATGGGCATATGACAACAGCACCTTCAAATCCACTCTGGCTACAGAGGTAAGTCTTTCTGTCTCTTTGTCACTAGACTATAGAAGTCGGAAGGTCATGTTGTAGTCATTGAATGTCTCATTGAATGAAAGGTAATGTTGTACTCATTGAATGTCATTCTTTGACCACGACAGATGTTGCATAGAAATGAAGTGTTATTTGTAGTTTCAAATCTCTTTGAATGCATATTTGAATATTGTTGCATTGCTAGCTACTCAATGAAAGTATTTCACAAAAGGTAAGTAGAGAGGCCGTTCTCATGTTGAAGGAGTTGTCTGTTTATTCTTCTTTCTACCTCTCTCATCAGTGGGACTTGGTGTGTGACCAGAAAGGGCAAAATAAGGCGACAACAACCATCTTCTTCATAGGCGTAATGTTCGGAGCTATGACCTTTCGAAGTCTGAGTGACAGGTAAGTTAACAGTCATTTATTCATTCACAGACAGTGGATTTTAGAGTCACCTTAAACCTAATCTCTGATGTACAGATGCACGTAACATAACTGCTATGGTAGTGTCTGTCAACAGACTGTGGGATGCTACGACTGTCACTGATCATTTGGAAAAATCACGATTTTGCAGGTGTTAGCAGCTTTTGGCCCATAGCCTTGTTTCTTTTTGACCATTTTAATAGAATACTGTTACAGTAAGGTACTTAATTGTTACCTAGAAATGGTTTGATATTGATATAAAAACAGCTGCATTTTGACTTTAATATTTTTAAATCAATCAAATTAAGAGGAATTTTGTATTTGTATTCTCTCTACAAACTCTTATCTTATTATCTTTTTAATCGAAAGAGGGGAACTGCCTCGCACTACAGAAACAGGAGATAGGCTCCTGCCCTATGGGCCGTTCTGGCTCGGACAAGGCTACTTAATGTACAGATGTAGGATCTTAATTTGAGCCAGTTTTCTATAGAAAAGAATCCTGCAGCAACAGGAAATGTGAATTATTATGTGGATTATAATTAATGGACATTTTTGTAGGGTTTGATCATTTTTTTTGTAAGTAAAACATCAAGTCTGAAATTTCAAAGTGGAAATCAGAAGCCTTTTTAAACCTCAAATACACTACAAGTTTTACATTTCCTGCATTGCAGGGAAGTTCTCCTGCAACATGGTGATCAAATTAAGATCCTACATCTGTATGTAGATGTTTCTGTTCACCTTCTCTTCAAATGTTGTCTTTTGTCTCTAGGTTTGGTAGGAAGACCATGCTCCTGGTGTCCTATATCTCTGGCATGCTCTTTGGTATTGCCAGTGCTTTCTCCACCTCCTTCATCATGTTCGCTGTGCTCAGGTTCTTCACTGGGTTCGGTATCACCGGCATTGTCATCGTCTCATCAGTGCTCAGTGATTATGCACACGCACACAGGCACACACACACCCACACTCGAATATGAAGCCCACCCACTAGACAAATACAGATAACCCAAGTTGCACCACAGATACTACCCTCTCCTCATCTGGGGTTGTGTTGTGGTGCTGTCCCATCTCTTCAGGTGTGGAGTGGGTGGACATTGAGCACAGGAAGCTGGTGGGAGTGATTGATAGCCTATCCTGGACATTTGGTTACTGCATGATTCCAGCCATAGCCTACTGTGTGACCGACTGGAGACAGCTGACCATAGCGGTCACCTCACCTCTCGCTCTAGCCATACTCATCTGGAGGTTAGAGGGAGGGAGGGAGGGAGGGAGGGTCTGACTGATGGACTGACAAAAAAAGGAATGGACAGTTAACCGTTGCTGTGTAATTGTGAATGACATCTTTACCTCCTCCAATAGGTGGATTCCTGAGTCAGCCAGGTGGCTCATAGCCAATGGGAAGTTTGAGAAAGCTTACTTTTATTTGCAACAATGTGCCCAGATGAACCAGAAGGAGGAGTTTGGATCCAAAATTACACCAGAGGTGAGCGAATGTCAGGATCGGATAAATTTTAGCAATATGGTAATTCCTTCACCTTTCCTTCTAGCCTGGTCCCAGATCTGTTTGTGCCTTCTTGCTAACTCCTATGGTCAGAGTTGGCAAGACAGCACAAACAGATCTGGGACCAGGTTACTTTCCCTCTGCTGGGCTGGGTGGGATATATTTTTGCCATGTTGCTTATACTGATCCAAATGGTTCAGATGTACACGAGGCCTAGGTGGTAGAGTCTAAGGGTTAGGGGTTGATTTGGGATTCAGCAACTGATCCGCCTCTATTTTTCTCCCCACCAGACTCTGTCCAGTATCATTGTGACAGAAAGAAAAGACAGAACTCACTCCTACCTGGACCTGGTCAGAACCCCAAAGATGAGGAGACTGGCTCTACTAACAGGCATAGTGTGGTGAGTATCCTCGGTCTCATATCTGGCTCTAATAACAGGCATAGTGTGGTGAGTATCCCCGCTCTCATATCTGGCTCTACTAACAGGCATAGTGTGGTGAGTATCCCCGGTCTCATGATGTCTGTTACAAATCGCTTTAGTAGATCCGTGTTCATCAAGTCTGGCTAAACATAACAATGTAAGAGTAATGTAAGAATGTATTGATTAATTTAAGTTGGGTAACATTTCATTTGAAAATGTCATGAAATTTAAATGTTTAGCTCAACTCAAACTGTCACGACACATCACATCAGTCTACACAGTTTAACAACACCAACAATGCCAACCTGATTTCTCCTCCCAAAGGTATGGTGTGGCGTCAACATTTTATGGCATTAGCTTCAACATCACTGGATTTGGACTCAACATCTATCTAACCCAGTTTGTGTACGGTGCCATAGAGCTGCCAGCCAAACTGTCAGCGTACTACCTTCTGGATAAGGTGGGCAGGAGAAACACTGAAGTGGGATCTCTGCTAGGAGCTGGAGTCTGTCTCGCTATCAATATCTTTATACCCAGAGGTGAGGACCTCTTTTTTTTTTGATCAGGGAGGTGGGCAACTCCCATCCAGGAACAATATCATCTTTATATAAACTGGGTGGTTCGAGCCCTGAATGCTGATTGGCTGACAGCCGTGGTATATCAGACCGTATACCACGGGTATGACAAAACATTTATTTTTACTGCTCTAATTACGTTGGTAACCAGTTTATAATAGGAATAAGGCACCTCGGGTGTTTGTGGTATATGGCCAATATACCACGGCTAAGGGCTGTATCCAGGCACTCCGCGTTGTGTCTTGCATAAGAACAGTCCTTAGCCATGGTATATTGGCCATACAGGGAGGGAAAAAAGTATTTGATCCCCTGCTGATTTTGTACGTTTGCCCACTGACAAAGAAATGATCAGTATATAATTTTAATGGTAGGTTTATTTGAACAGTGAGAGACAGAATAACAACAAAAAAATCCAGAAAAACGCATGTCAAAAATGTTATAAATTGATTCGCATTTTAATGAGGGAAATAAGTATTTGACCCCCTCTCAATCAGAAAGATTTCTGGCTCCCAGGTGTCTTTTATACAGGTAACGAGCTGAGATTAGGAGCACACTCTTAAAGGGAGTGTTCCTAATCTCAGTTTGTTACCTGTATAAAAGACACCTGTCCACAGAAGCAATCAATCAATCAGATTCCAAACTCTCCACCATGGCCAAGACCAAAGAGCTCTCCAAGGATGTCAGGGACAAGATTGTAGACCTACACAAGGCTGGAATGGGTTACAAGACCATCGCCAATCAGCTTGGTGAGAAGGTGACAACAGTTGGTGCGATTATTCGCAAATAATAATCTCCCGAGTGGCGCAGTGGTCTAAGGCACTGCATCGCAGTGCTAACTGTGCCACTAGAGATCCTGGTTCGAATCCAGGCTCTGTCGTAGCCGGCCGCGACCGGGAGACTCATGGGCGGCGCACAATTGGCCCAGCGTCGTCCAGGGTATGGGGAGGGAATGGCCGGCAGGGATGTAGCTCAGTTGATAGAGCATGGCGTTTGCAACGCCAGGGTTGTGGGTTCGATTCCCACGGGGGGCCAGTATAAATAAAAATATGTATTCACTAACTGTAAGTCGCTCTGGATAAGAGCGTCTGCTAAATGACTAAAATGTAAATGTAAATGTAAATGGAAGAAACACAAAATAACTGTCAATCTCCCTCGGCCTGGGGCTCCATGCAAGATCTCACCTCGTGGAGTTGCAATGATCATGAGAACGGTGAGGAATCAGCCCAGAACTACACAGGAGGATCTTGTCAATGATCTCAAGGCAGCTGGGACCATAGTCACCAAGAAAACAATTGGTAACACAATACACAGTGAAGGACTGAAATCCTGCAGCGCCCGCAAGGTCCTCCTGCTCAAGAAAGCACATATACAGGCCTGTCTGAAGTTTGCCAATGAACATCTGAATGATTCAGAGGAGAACTGGGTGAAAGTGTTGTGGTCAGATGAGACCAAAATCGAGCTCTTTGGCATCAACTCAACTCGCCGTGTTTGGAGGAGGAGGAATGCTGCCTATGACCCCAAGAACACCATCCCCACCGTCAAACATGGAGGTGGAAACATTATGCTTTGAGGTTGTTTTTCTGCTAAGGGGACAGGACAACTTCACCACATCAAAGGGACGATGGACGGGGCCATGTACCGTCAAATCTTGGGTGAGAACCTCCTTCCCTCAGCCAGGGCATTGCAAATGGGTCGTGGATGGGTATTCCAGCATGACAATGACCCAAAACACACGGCCAAGGCAACAAAGGAGTGGCTCAAGAAGAAGCACATTAAGGTCCTGGAGTGGCCTAGCCAGTCTCCAGACCTTAATCCCATAGAAAATCTGTGGAGGGAGCTGAAGGTTCGAGTTGCCAAACGTCAGCCTCGAAACCTTAATGACTTGGAGAAGATCTGCAAAGAGGAGTGGGACAAAATCCCTCCTGAGATGTGTGCAAACCTGGTGGCCAACTACAAGAAACGTCTGACCTCTGTGATTGCAAACAAGGGTTTTGCCACCAAGTACTAAGTCATGTTTTGCAGAGTGGTCAAATACTTATTTCCCTCATTAAAATGCAAATCAATTTATAAAATGTTTGACATGCGTTTTTCTGGATTTTTTTGTTGTTATTCTTTCTCTCACTGTTCAAATAAACCTACCATTACAATTATAGACTGATCATGTCTTTGTCAGTGGGCAAACGTACAAAATCAGCAGGGGATCAAATACTTTTTTCCCTCACTGTATACCACACCCCCTCAGGCATTATTGCTTAAATATAGGAGTTATAATCTAAAACGGGTGCTGGCAGTAGGGGCTGCAGTGTGTGCAGGCTTTTGTTCCAGTAACATACTACTTGATTCAACTAATAGCTCAATTGAAGACCATGCTTAGTTGAATCAGGTGTGTAGCAGGGCTGGAACATACCCTGGCAGTTACAGTGAGGGAAAAAAGTATTTGATCCCCTGCTGATTTTGTACGTTTGCCCACTGACAAAGACATGATCAGTCTATAATTGTAATGGTAGGTTTATTTGAACAGTGAGAGAAAGAATAACAACAAAAAAATCCAGAAAAACGCATGTCAAACATTTTATAAATTGATTTGCATTTTAATGAGGGAAATAAGTATTTGACCCCTCTGCAAAACATGACTTAGTACTTGGTGGCAAAACCCTTGTTGGCAATCACAGAGGTCAGACATTTCTTGTAGTTGGCCACCAGGTTTGCACACATCTCAGGAGGGATTTTGTCCCACTCGTCTTTGCAGATCTTCTCCAAGTCATTAAGGTTTCGAGCCTGACGTTTGGCAACTCGAACCTTCAGCTCCCTCCACAGATTTTCTATGGGATTAAGGTCTGGAGACTGGCTAGGCCACTCCAGGACCTTAATGTGCTTCTTCTTGAGCCACTTCTTTGTTGCCTTGGCCGTGTGTTTTGGGTCATTGTCATGCTGGAATACCCAATCCACGACCCATTTTCAATACCCTGGCTGAGGGAAGGAGGTTCTCACCCAAGATTTGACGGTACATGGCCCTGTCCATCGTCCCTTTGATGCGGTGAAGTTGTCCTGTCCCCTTAGCAGAAAAACACCCCCAAAGCATAATGTTTCCACCTCCATGTTTGACGGTGGGGATGGTGTTCTCGGGGTCATAGGCAGCATTCCTCCTCCTCCAAACATGGCGAGTTGAGTTGATGCCAAAGAGCTAAATTTTGGTCTCATCTGACCACAACACTTCCACCCAGTTCTCCTCTGAATCATTCAGATGTTCATTGGCAAACTTCAGACGGGCCTGTATATGTGCTTTTTTGAACAGGGGGACCTTGCGGGCGCTGCAGGATTTCAGTCCTTCATGGCGTAGTGTGTTACCAATTGTTTTCTTGGTGACTATGGTCCCAGCTGCCTTGAGATCATTGACAAGATCCTCCCGTGTAGTTCTGGGCTGATTCTTCACCATTCTCATGATCATTGCAACTCCACGCCCCAGGCAGAGGGAGATTGACAGTTATTTTGTGTTTCTTCCATTTGCGAATAATCACACCAACTGTTGTCACCTTCTCACCAAGCTGCTTGGCGATGGTCTTGTAGCCCATTCCAGCCTTGTGTAGGTCTACAATCTTGTCCCTGACATCCTTGGAGAGCTCTTTGGTCTTGGCCATGGTGGAGAGTTTGGAATCTGATTGATTGATTGCTTCTGTGGACAGGTGTCTTTTATACAGGTAACAAACTGAGATTAGGAGCACTCCCTTTAAGAGTGTGCTCCTAATCTCAGCTCGTTACCTGTATAAAAGACACCTGGGAGCCAGAAATCTTTCCGATTGAGAGGGGGTCAAATACTTATTTCCCTCATTAAAATGCAAATCAATTTATAACATTTTTGACACGCGTTTTTCTGGATTTTGTTGTTGTTATTCTGTCTCTCACTGTTCAAATAAACCTACCATTAAAATTATAGACTGATCATTTCTTTGTCAGTGGGCAAACGTACGCAATCAGCAGGGGATCAAATACTTTTTTCCCTCACTGTACTAGATTACAACTCTACAAGAGTTATCACGACTTTACAGGAGTTATCACGACTTTACAGGAGTTATCACGACTTTACGGGAGTTATCACGACTCTACAGGAGTTATCACGATGTCACGATCGTCGTAGAGAGTAGACCAAGGCGCAGCGTGATGAACGAACATGTTTATTTATCTTTAGTGATAAATACGGACAATAAACAAAACAACAAACGATACGTGCAGTCCTACGGTTTAACACAACCACGGAACAAACCAAACGGAAACAAGATCCCACAAACACTATGGGAAAACAGACTGTTTAAATATGGTTCCCAATCAGAGACAACCAGCCACAGCTGACACTCGTTGCCTCTGATTGAGAACCACACTGGCCAACATAGAAATACAATACTAGAACACGACATAGAAACACAAACACATAGAAACTACACACCCTGGCTCAAAATATAGAGTCCCCAGAGCCAGGGTGTGACAGTACCTCCCCCCAAAGGCGCGGACTGCGACCGCGCCTCAACAAAACCCAAACAGGGGAGGGCTGGGTGGGCATTCCTCCTCGGAGGCGGTTCCGGCTCCGGGCTTGACCACCACCCTTCAATAATCCCCCCGTAGCGCCCCTGGTCCGGTCTGGCCCCGCTGGCTGGAGCTGGACTGGACATCGAAGGAGCGGATTGCTTAAGCTCCGTTGTGGAGCAGCTGACCGGTACCTGATCAGGCACCGGTGACCCAGGCACGGGTTGTGCCGGACTGACGACGCGCACCCCTGGCTTGGTGCGTGGAGCAGTAACGGACCGGACCGGGCTGACGATGCGCACCCCTGGCTTGGTGCGTGGAGCAGCAACGGGCCGGACCGGGCTGACGATACGCACCCCTGGCTTGGTGCGTGGAGCAGGAACGGGCCTTACCAGGCTGACGACTCGCACCCCTGGCTTGGTGCGAGTAGCCGGAACAGGCCTGGCCGGGCTGGCGACACGCACCGTAGGCTTGGTGCGAGTGGCAGGAACAGGCCGGGCCGGGCTGGCGACGCGCACCGTAGGTTTGGTGCGAGTGGCAGGAACAGGCCGGGCCGGGCTGGCGACGCGCACCGTAGGTTTGGTGCGAGTGGCAGGAACAGGCCGGGCCGGGCTGGCGACGCGCACCGTAGGCTTGGTGCGAGTGGCAGGAACAGGCCGGGCCGGGCTGGCGACGCGCACCGTAGGCTTGGTGCGAGGGGCAGGAACAGGCCGGGCCGGGCTGGCGACGCGCACCGTAGGCTTGGTGCGGGGAGCAGGAACAGGCCGGGCCGGACTGGCGACGTGCACCATTAACTTAGTGCGGGGAGCAGGAACGGGCCGGACTGGACTGGTGACGCACACCACTTGCTTGGTGTGAGGAGGGCGGGACTGGGTTTCGTCATAACCCTCCGCTCCCTCAGCTGCCTACCTAGTTCCTCTCGCCGTGCCTCTATTCTCACCTTCTCCCTTATCGCCTCCAGTAACTCTACCCTCTGCACCACTAACTCCTGCTCCCTCTGCGCCAATAGCCCCCTTAACCTGGTGGCCTCCTCACCTAACCTCCTACTATGCCCTGTAGCTGCCTCCTGCTGCCCCGTCGCCCATGCCGTATGCCCCCCCCTAAAAATTTTTTGGGGTTGCCTCTCGTCCGTCCGACGACGACACTGTTGACGCCGTTGCTCCTCTCTCCGTCGCGCCTCTACCGTCTCACTCCATGGACGGCGATCCATCCCGGCCTGGATTTCCTCCCAGGTCCAGGACCCCTGCCCGTCCAAGATCTGTTCCCACGTCCAGACTGCCTGCTCCTGGACACGCTGCTTGGTCCTGGTATGGTGGGATCTTCTGTCACGATCGTCGTAGAGAGTAGACCAAGGCGCAGCGTGATGAACGAACATGTTTATTTATCTTTAGTGATAAATACGGACAATAAACAAAACAACAAACGATACGTGCAGTCCTACGGTTTAACACAACCACGGAACAAACCAAACGGAAACAAGATCCCACAAACACTATGGGAAAACAGACTGTTTAAATATGGTTCCCAATCAGAGACAACCAGCCACAGCTGACACTCGTTGCCTCTGATTGAGAACCACACTGGCCAACATAGAAATACAATACTAGAACACGACATAGAAACACAAACACATAGAAACTACACACCCTGGCTCAAAATATAGAGTCCCCAGAGCCAGGGTGTGACACACGACTCTACAGGAGTTATCACGACTTTACAGGAGTTATCACGACTCTACAGGAGTTATCACGACTTTACAGGAGTTATCACGACTCTACGGGACTTATCACATCTAGTAATGCTGGGGTCTGTTCCAGTCTGTTTCAGTTATTTCTGGTCTCATCTTAAAGATTGAAATAAGGTGTGTAACTTTGAGTTAAATGAAAGGTCATGTTGTTCCCCTCCTCTCTTTCAGACATGTCTGTTTTAAGGACGGTGGTAGCAGTACTGGGGAAGGGTTGCTCGGCAACATCCTTCACAACCGTCGTGTTGTACAGCTCTGAGCTGTTCCCTACTGTGGTCAGGTAAATCCCTCTCCGGTCTCCTCTCAGAGGGATATTTGTCTAGCGTAGTGGTTGCACTGACGACTCCAAACCACATCCCCACGGCAATGGGGGTTCCCACCTCGGCTACTTTCCTATCTATGCCCCTTTACTTTCAACTTTCCTGTGGAAATGCCATTAAGAATGGAGAAAATACAGTAAGAGATCAGCATCGGGAGATTGGGATTCCGATTGAAAGTGTAACTAAAGACCAGTCAAAACGTGTGTTCGGTATCTTTCTCTCCGTCTCTCAGGCAGAATGGCATGGGCTACAACTCATCTATGGGTCGTCTGGGAGTGTCTCTGGCCCCTCTGATCCTGCTGCTGGACGAGGTGTGGAGGGACCTTCCCCAGGTCATCCTCTGCTCCATAGCCCTGCTGGCTAGCCTGGTGGCCAGGATGCTGCCTGAGACACGGGACCGCTGTCTACCAGAGACCATCCAGGACGTCGAGGACGGGCAGACAGGGTACGATATAGACTCTGATAGCCTCTGTGATACAGACACTTAAGGTTGGATTCAATAGAGCGCATTATAGAGCAGCGCACTAGACTGCTAACAACGAGCCTTGTAAAGGTCCAATATGCAGAAATCACTCCGCCATTGCGTGGTTGCTAAAATTCTAAAATGTTTTCCTATAATTTCAATTTATGTGACAAAACAAACAATGTACATTTACATTACATTTCAGTCATTTATAGAGAATCATTGTACCATCTAAACCTCTGTGAAATATACTGTATTTTCAATAACCCAAAATATAGTATTTTCTACTTTTTAAAGCTGGTGTCCAAACCTAAAGTAAAAGGATGCAAAAACTAAACTTAAGGAAGTGAAGAATAAAAACTTGCGCACACAGAACGGATATACCGCTTATCAGACATGCTTTCAATGAGAATGACAGGTCTATAACTTACATTTTTACATGAATTTGGTTGGGTTGAACACAATGCTTCATATTGCGCCTTTAAAGGCATTTTCCCCAACGTTTGGGGAGATCGCATTCATGGTAAACACTTCGCATGTCGCCTCAAGCGTAAATGACCTTTAAAAGTCTGTTATTATGGGCTGCGTTATAGCCTACCTTGGATTGAATCCCAGCCTTAGGCCCAGACCAACGGACTTGATCTCCATATCAAATCATTTCGGGGTAACAATAAAGTTACTTAGTATAGTTTTTAGTCAAAATGGTCAAGAATTTAATTAAATAGCTGTTTTACAAACCACTATTTCTCAAGCAAACATTTTGCCAGGTTGCAATCTGTAATTTCTTTCTAAACATGATTATTGATCATTATGAATATCATAGTAAATGTTTTATGATTTGTGTGTCTATTATTTTAATGTATCATTCTAGGAAAAGTTTGGCTGGATCGCAAGTTTTGGAAATGACGGATATCCCTCTCAAATCAAAGGACAACGTTGAGGTGGAAAATGGATACTAAGATTCTTTCTGTATGTATTTTTGATATGCCCAAATGTGCACCAACAATTTAAGAGAACAGCTTTTCAAGTAACCTCATTGTACACTGAATGTAGAAAACATTATGAACACCTGCTCTTTCCATGACATTGACTGACCAGGTGAATCCAGATGAAAGCTATGATCCCTTATTGATGTCACCTGTTAAATCCACTTCAATCAATGTAGATTAAGAAAGTGTAGATGCCTTGAGACAATTGAGACATGGACTGTGTATGTGTGCCATTCAGAGGGTGAATAGGCAAGACAAAATATTTAAGTGCCTTTCAACGGGGTATGGCAGTAGGTGCCAGGCGCACCGGTTTGTGTGTCAAAAACTGCAAAACGCTGCTGTGTTTTTTACGCTCAACAGTTTCCCGTGTGTATAAAGAATGGTCCACCACCCAAAGGACATCCAGAAAATCCAGACAACTTTACATAACTGTGGGAAGCATTGGAGTCAACATGGGCCAGCATCCCTGTGGAATGCTTTTTACACCTTGTAGAGTCCATGCCCCGGCGAATTCAGGCTGTTCTGAGGGCAAAAGGGAGGGGTGCAACTTAATATTAGGAAGGTGTTCTTTAATGTTTTGTACACTCAGTGTGTTTGCTACACATCAAAAACAACATTAAAACCTAGCACTGATCTTATAAAACAAGAGAAACGAGATACATGAGAACAAAAGATACAAGAGAAAGAGAAAGCCTGAAGAATAAGTGTGAAGAATAATTAGAATTGTATTCGTCATATACAAATTATAATTTACACTTAATTCCAATATTACATTTTCTTATTTAGAAAAGACTCCCTTTCTGTTTCATATAAACGAGGAACAAGATATTATCTTTGATAATGTATCATAACTCTTTATGCATTATTCCTCACCATTACCATTGGCAAATGTATGCAATCAATCCTTAATATTGAATATGAGCCTATTGTTAAATACATATTTTATAAATCAGTGTGCTAAGTAGGTTGTAAAAGTGATTTTAATATTCTTAATCATTACTACGTTAATACATTAGAATAAAATGCAGTCCGTTTTTTGTAAATATCCAGTCCGTGTGATATAATTTCTGTGACCATGAAAACAAATAAAGAAACATGACCTCATGTTGATCTGCGAGCGCGTGGTCGGTTCCATCGCAATACCTGTCAATTCAGTCAATGAATCACTTCAGTCACTCAATTCAGTAATTTCAGTCACTGATATGACCCCAAATCAAACCGAAACCCCAAACGAGGACTATTAACCAGAGTTTTCTATTGGCTATTCATCTCACTTTCAGTGTGTGGCTAGGACTGGCTGGCTGGGTATTTCAGTTTGCGCCATGCCTTCTTTCTCGTAGATGTAACAGCCCACGTTGCCGATGTTCACTCCTTTTGGTCCATATAGGATGCCGTAGCAAGGGACGTGGCAGTAAGGTATCCCTTCATGCTGCAGCAAGGGAAACATCAGCAATGTCATGTTTTAGTTTTTAATCTGATTGAGGTATTATTATTCTAAAACCCATTCTTTATCATGAGGCTTTATCATGACCCTAGACTACAGTTGTCAGAATAAGACATACATGAAGGGGCATTTAGCTCTTCTTAATTGTCCCTCCCTGAGGGGATGAATACACGTATATTGGTTTGATTCAGTCTGATTTAATTTACCAACATCAATGCATCTTCAGATTGTGTTATAAATCCATGTTGGCTTTGCATCCTGAAGATGCAAGAGACGTTAATAATAAAATTAATCAAATCACCTTACTTGCACATTTCATTACAAAAATACTGATGCGGGTCTTAAAAGCACCCCTGGCTTCTATCATCTACAGGTTCCCAAACTTTTTCACTCAGGCCGCCCTTCCCACAGCTCTGCAGTGGTCACTAGCTGGCACAGCCACAAAGCCATAACATCTGATTTGAATCCTAATCCTAACCTTAAAGGGATACTTCGAGATTTTGGCAATGAGGCCCTTTAACTACTTCCCCAGAGTCAGATGAACTTGTGAATACCATTTTTATGTCTCTGCGTGCGGTTTGAAGGAAGTTGCTAACTAGCGCTAGCGCAATTGCTAACTAGCGTTAGCGCAATGACTGGAAGTCTATGGGTATATGTAGATACCCATAGACTTCCAGTCATTGCGCTACGCTAGTTAGCGTTGGCTCACAAAACTACCTCTTACTTCCTTCAAACTGGACACAGAGACATAAAAATGATATCCACAAGTTCATCTGACTCTGGGGAAGTAGATAAAGGGCCTCATTGCCAAAATCTAGAAGTATTCCTTTAACCCTAAACTTATCCACACTGCTAACCCTAATGCCTAACCCTAACCTTAAATTAAGCCAATTTTGACTTTGCAGCTGGCCCATCTAGCAGAAATCACTCAGGTCTGGCTCCAGGGCAAGATTCATGACAATAAACGTCAACCTGCGTTTTAAAGCTAATTTCTTGCAATTCTACACATTTTGCCATGTCTTATGTGTGTTTATGTGATATCTGAGTGACTCAAAAATTACAACAAAATCAATGGGCAAAGAAAACCTAGCTAAAAGAACGTTAGCTGACATGGGCTCACCCAACAGTTTGGGAACCACTGATCTACAGTAATAATGTGGATGTAATACCTCAGCATGTCCACCAGAGGTCAGTGTCTTCTTACACCTCTCACAGCGCAGGCAGGGTCTGTGCCAGTTCCTACCCAGGGACATCACCTTCTCTGCTGCAGAGACACACAGATAAACACGTCGCTACGACCACCTCATTCAGCTGGCATGTCAGGATAATTAATAACCAGTGCACATGGTTCTGTGAACTCAGTTGGTAAAAACATGGCGATTGCAACACTAAGGTCGTGGGTTCAATTCCCACAGGGAATCACATACCAAAAATGTATGCACTCACTGTACTGTATGTCGCTTTGAAAATATAAAGGTCTGCTAAGAGAACGACCTATCAGTACAAGTCCATTGTAGTAGACAACATAGAAAATAAACATAAGAAAGCAAATGTTGAAAATAATAACTATTTTAAAAAATGCATATCATAAATCAAACATAAACAGTCTGACCAAAACATACCAAAATAGACCACTTTTCCGCAGCCAGGACAGAGTGAGGTCTCTCCAGCAAATGTCCTGGTCTGAGGGGGAAGAACTGGGAAAACAACAGTGACTGGAGGTTATTCATAAATTCACCCCACATAAACTCATATGTTAACCCCACAGAAACTTGCAGATTGTATTCCTCCAACCAGACAGCAAATATAAGGACAAACCACTGCAACAGACACAAACTCAACATACTAGTGACCAAATCCAGCTGCTACTGTAAAATAAATGTAATCTGCTACTTTACAGATTTATTCAATATACACAATTTATCTATTCACGTTAACCACACATAAACCCACAGTTTGCAGTTTGAATAGTAACGTCATGTGATACATAGCAAAAAGGTTGGATGTACAGTACCAGTCAAAAGTTTTAGAACACCTACACATTCAAGGGTTTTTCTTTATTTTTTACATTGTAGAATAATAGTGAAGACATCAAAACTATTAAATAACACATATGGAATCATGTTGTAACCAAAACAAGTGTTAAACAAATCAAAATATATTTTATATTTAAGATTCTTTAAATAGCCACCGTTTGCCTTGATGACAGCTTTGCACACTCTCGGCATTCTCTCAACCAGCTTCACCTGGAATGCTTTTCCAACAGTCTTGAAGGAGTTCCCACATATGCTGAGCACTTGTTGGCTGCTTTTCCTTCACTCTGCCGTCCGACTCATCCCAAACCATCTCAATTGGGTTGAGGTCAGGGGTTTGTGGAGGCCAGGTCATCTGATGCAGCACTCCATCACTCTCCTTCTTGGTAAAATAGCCCTTACACAGTGTGGAAGTGTGTTAGGTCATTGTCCTGTTGAAAAACAAATGATAGTCCCACTAAGCCCAAACCAGATGGGATGGCGTATCGCTGCAGAATGCTGTGATAGTGCGCCTTGAATTCTAAATAAATCACAGACAGTGTCACCAGCAAAGCACCCCCACACCATAACACCTCCTCCATGCTTTACGGTGGGAACTACACATGCAGAGATCATCCGTTCACCCACACCGCGTCTCACAAAGACATGGCGGTTGGAACCAAAAATCTCAAATTTGGACTCCAGACCAAAGGACACATTTCCACTGGTCTAATGTCCATTGCTCATGTTTCTTGGCCCAAGCAGGTCTCTTCTTCTTATTGGTGTCCATTAGTAGTGGTTTCCTTGCAGCAATTCGACCATGAAGGCCTGATCCCTCTGAACAGTTGATGTTGAGATGTGTCTGTAACTTGAACTCTGTGAAGCATTTATTTGGGGTGCAATTTCTGAGGCAGGTAACTCTAATGAACTTATCCTCTGCAGCAGAGGTAACTCTGGTGGCTAGTTTCATCAAAGTTCTTGACATTTTCCGTATTGACTGACCTTCATGTCTTAAAGTAATGATGGACTGTCGTTTCTCTTTGCTTATTTGAGCTGTTCTTGCCATAATATGGACTTGGTCTTCTACCAAATAGGGCTATCTTCTGTATACCCCCCTATCTTGTCACAACACAACTGATTGGCTCAAATGCATTAAGACGGAAAGAAATTCCACAAATGAACTTTTAATAAGGCATATCTGTTAACTGAAATGCATTCCAGGTGACCACCTCATGAAGCAAAGCTGTCATCAAAGCAAAGGCTGGCTATTTGTTTAACACTTTTTTTGGTTACTACATGATTCCATATGTGTTATTTCATAGTTTTGATGTCTTCACTATTATTCTACAATGTAGAAAATAGTAAAAATAAAGAAAAACCCTTGAATGAGTAGGTGTGTCCAAACCTTTGACTGGTAGTGTATGTTTTTTATCAAAAGGCAAAGCTTCAACAGATTATAAATCATTATAATCATGACATCGAGCAATCGGCAACTCCCCCACCCCTTCTTTCAAAATAATGTGAATCTCCAAAGGAAATGCTAAACCCAACAAAAGGTGGAGAATATCTTTTAAAAAGATTTGTTGGTCAATCTTGTAATCAGAGATGGTTGTTTAAAGGCATAGAGTTAGACATCTCTTGTGCTGCAAATCACTTCAAAGTTCATCAATGGTCATGATTTAGAGGGTTTATATTTTATAAACGTACCTTAAATACAAGTCAGCCTTTTATATAACTCAAAGTAATGTGTCAATGTTACATGGAACATTGCGTCCCTTGTCACATGTGCAGTGTCACTAACAAAATTGGCCCGTCTCTCGGAAAAGCCTCATTAAGGGAAAATATTTCAGGAAGTGAGCCAATCAATGCTGGCCAATGAAAATTCCTCATTCCTCCCCAAGTGACGAAGAGAGAGAGGGTCATTACAAGTGTGTGTGTGTTTGCAGTTGTGTGTGTGTGTGTGTGCGTGCAAGTGTGTGTTTGTGTGTGAAACAAGACAGTCATTACAACTGTTTGGTGGTGAGTAACCCTCTCTCTACTCCATTTATGTTGCTATATTTAACCCTTAATGGTCAAACTTCAATCAATCAATCACATTTTATTTATAAAGCCCTTTTTACATCAGCAGATGTCACAAAGTGCTATACAGAAACCCAGCCTAAAACCCCAAACTGCAAGCAATGCAGATGTAGAAGCACTTGGAGTACTTGGCAAGGCCAGTTTATTTGAGCAGCCCTGATTAAAAGGACTGGTTCCTGTGTGTGTGTGTGTGTTTGTATGAATGTGTGTGTATGTGTGTGTGCACGTGTGTGTGAGGTTGTGAGAGCTAAGGAGGGTATTTGTTTTTCATCAAGACAATATGCTACTCTAAGCTCCCTTAATTAATAATACCACTACTCCCCCTCCGTCGCTTTAGCCTGGTCCCAAATCGATTTGTGCTGTCTTGCTCAACTGCTATGGTCATTGTTTAGCATGACAAACAGATCTGGGATCAGGCTACCGTCCCTTGCCTTTGGGCTGGTTCCAGGTGACCTGCATGGTGGTCCATGGTGTGGTGGGGGATCCCTCTGAGGGGCAGTCGAAGGTGGGTTGAGGAGTGTCGTAGATGTAGGAGCCTGCCCCTCCGATGTTCACACCTGGAGGAGAGGAGAGGAGAGGAGAGGAGAGGAGAGGAGAGGAGAGGAGAGGAGAGGAGAGGAGAGGAGAGGAGAGGAGAGGAGAGGAGAGGAGAGGAATTTGGTTGCCAGTGTTTTATTTTAAAAAATGAAACTTTTTAAGCCCCAGTAGAGGTCCTACTACATAACTTCCATCTTGGATGATAAACAGAAAACAGAGGAGGAAGAGGCCAAGGGGAAATGCCTGTTGTTTTTCAGTTGGGTTTGAGGTTCCTTTATTTAAACATCCAGAACCAAACCACGACCCCATCCTACCCAAACCACCAGAGGCACACACATTCCAGACAAATTCCTTGTTTCTGTATGTATGGATTGGGTCAACTCAACTGTAATGTAGGATGATCTCATTCTTTATGGATAATCTATGAAGCTACTCAAAATCATTTTCTTAGATATGAGTGGAAGTTTGTAAGATATGTAACCCACTTTACATTTAGCTTCCCCAGTCTAATTACCCTCCCCTATGTATTGGCCTCCCCTATGTATTGGAAATTAGATGTTGCCGCCTAACTTTCTCCTCCAGGTTCTGTGGCAACCCCACAACAATCATGTGATATGCAGGCATGGTAATATTAGGTTGGTGGTTGCCTCTGTAGTCATTTTTTCAATAGAGTGACTAAGACCTTTGGTTTCAAAACATTGCACTCAATAAACTGTGGTAGCTTTCAACAGTGTGTGGATATCTATCTTTCTTTCAGTTCTTCAATAAGCTCTTGGGTTCATACACTACTAAACGATTAAAGCATCACATTGGGGAATAATCCAATTAAAGTCTTAGTAGTGAAATCATGTCTGTCTCCTGTCCGAACTGCACCCTATTCCCTTTATAGTGCACTACATTTGACCAGGGCCCATAGGGCTTTGGGCAAAAGTAGTGCACTATACAGGGAATAGGGTGCCAATAGAGATGCGCGCCATGTCATAATTACCCAGAATAATACCTATATTTCTAAGTACACCCCCGCTGTAGTCAGACAAAAATGTTATAATGAGCTTATAAAATCCCCTTTTGTGGTTCTTTTTACTTTTAAAAGGGAAGCACCTAAGATTACATCAGAGTTCATTCATGCATTCATAAACCCAAAGTTGTATGTATTTCTTCCATTGCGTAGACCTACGTGATGTAATGTGGTGCGGTGTGATGTGTACACCAAAATTATGAATCAACTTTTTTAATGGCACACACAAATCATAGGATTTTGGGGTGGTCCAAATTTTTGTCAAAGATTTCATTAACTTTGAAACAAGGCCAACTTCTTAATCAACTTTGAAATTTAAGCAACTTTAAGAAATGAGGTCCACCTGGTTAGGAGTAGCGATTGAATAGGCTCTGGCCAGGCAGCATTGCACCAAGGCAGGAGGTCATTTTGGATCTATAAATATCCATCTGGGCCCCTGAGGAGGTCATGCACTTTGCTGCATGGGAAATGCCTTGTATGACCGTATAGTATCTGTGTGATTAAATGGTATAATGTTTTTAACATTGTTTACTTATTCAATCAACTACTTTTATGGCTGTTTGTGTGAGTTGGGAAAGAAGTGCATTTGTGCTACTGTATGTAGTGTGTGCGTGAGTAGTGTGTACTGGGTATAGTGTAAACAATTTTTTATAAGCAGCACTGAGTATCCAAGACAATTTCCCCTTCTGGGACAATAAAGTTTACCGCATCCTATATGGCACACTATAGCCATTCTTCCTCATCATATACACTACCAGTCAAAAGTTTGGACACACCTACTTATTCCAGGGTTTTTCTTTATTTTGACTATTTTCTACATTGTAGAATAATAGTGAAGACATCAAAACTATGAATTAACACATATGGAATCATGTAGTAACCAAAAAAGTGTTAAACAAGATTCTAAAAAGTAGCCACCCTTTGCCTTGATAACAGCTTTGCACACTTTTGGCATTCTCTCAACCAGCTTCATGAGGTAGTCACCTGGAATGCATTTAAATTAACAGGTGTGCCTTGTTAAAAGTTAATTTGTGGAATTTCTTTCCTTCTTAATGCGTTTGAGCCAATCAGTTGTGTTGTGACAAGGTAGGATTGGCATTCAGAATATAGCCCTATTTGGTAAAAGACCAAGTCCATATTATGGCAAGAACAGCTCAATTAAGCAAAGACAAACGACAGTCCATCATTACTTTAAGACATGAAGGTCAGTCAATCCGGAAAAAAAAACCCATCAAGCGCTATGATGAAACTGGCTCTCATGAGGACCGCCACAGGAAAGGAAGACCCCAAGTTACCTCTGCTGTAGAGGATAAGTTCATTAGAGTTAACTGCACATGTCACACCTTGGTTCTGGGACTCCATATGTTGAGCCAGGGTGTGTTCATTCTATGTGGTTTATTTCTATGTTGGGGGTTCTAGTTTGTTGATTTCTATGTTTTGCCTGAGTGACTCCCAATCAGAGGCAACGAGTGTCAGCTGTTGGCTGGTTGTCTCTGATTGGGAGCCATATTTAAACTGTATGTTTTCCCTTTGTGTTTGTGGGTTTTTGTTCCGTGTTCGGTCATTGTCACCGTGGACGTTACGAGTCGTTTGTTGTTTTGTTCGTGCTTTAATTTAATAAAGTAAACATGTTCATTCATCACGCTGCGCATTGGTCTCTCCCTGACGATCATGACAGCACATCAGATTGCAGCCCAAATAAATGCTTCACAGAGTTCAAGTAACAGACACATCTCAACATCAACTGTTCAAAGGAGACTGCGTGAATCAGGCCTTCATGGTCGAATTGCTGCAAAGAAACCACTACTAAAAGACACCAATAAAAAGAAGAGACTTGCTTGGGTCAAGAAACACGAGCAATGGACATTACACTGGTGGAAATCTGTCCTTTGGTCTGATGAGGTCTTTGGTTCCAACCGCCGTGTCTTTGTGAGATGCAGAGTAGGTGAACGGATGATCTCTGCATGTGTGGTTCCCACCGTGAAGCATGGAGGAGGTGTGATGGTCCTTTGCTGGTGACACTGTCAGTGATTTATTTAGAATTCAAGGAACACTTAACCAGCATGGCTACCACAGCATTCTGCAGCGATACGCCATCCCATCTGGTTTGCGCTTAGTGGGACTATCATTTGTTTTTCAATGACCCAAAACATACCTCCAGGCTGTGTAAGGGCTATTTGACCAAGAAGGAGAGTGATGGAGTGCTGCATCAGATGACCTGGCCTCCACAATCACCTGACCTCAACCCAATTGAGATGGTTTGGGATGAGTTGGACCGCAGAATGAAGGAAAAGCAGCCAACAAGTGCTCAGCATATGTGGGAACTCCTTCAAGACTGTTGGAAAAGCATTCCAGGTGAAGCTGGTTGAAAGAATGCCAAGAGTGTGCAAAGCTGTCATCAAGGCAAAGGGTGGCTACTTTGAAGAATCTAAAATATATTTTGATTTGTTTAACACTTTTTTGGTTACTACATGATTCCAGATGTGTTATTTCATAGTTTTGATGTCGTCACTATTATTCTACAATGTAGAAAATAGTAAAAATAAAGAAAAACGCTTGAATGAGTAGGTGTGTCCAAACTTTTGACTGGTACTGTATTTGTGATGAGGCTTTTTTAACAGTAATCTCTTACCTTTGGGTCCAAAGAGAGTTCCGTAGCATGGTTTGTGACAGTAGGGCAGTCCATCATGCTGAAAGACAGAGAATGTCTAATATTAACACATAATATATTATCATAAGTAATAGCTGAATATGATTAATTAATAAAAACAAAAATAAACTGTTTACTGAAGCTGAAACTACTGAAATAGTTCAGAATTCACTGAAATTGAACTTTACAGTCAGTCAGCGTCAGTATAAAGCATTGGGTTTAAACCAATCAGACAGCGGTTATATTTCAGGAATGTGACCGCTGACCGGTCACTGGCATCATCACAAATCGCACCCTATTACATTTATAGGCTCCCGAGTGGCGCAGCGGTCTAAGGCACTGCATCTCAGTGCTTAAGGCGTCACTACAGACCCCCTGGTTCGATTCCAGGCTGTATCACAACCGGCCGTGATTGGGAGTCCCGTTGGGTGGCGCACAATTGGCCCAGCGTCGTCCGGGTTTGGCCGGTGTAGGCCGTCATTGTAAATAAGAACTTTATTTAACTGACTTGCCTAGTTAAATAAAAATAAAATAAATAAATAGCGCACTGCTTTTGACCTGGGCCATAGGGCAGCCTTTGTCTTTCAAATGTATACAAATGCCTTCTCCTCCTGACCCCTTCAAGTTAATTATGGAGGAGCTCTCTCTGTCAGTCCTAAAATGGATTGGGCCGAGCAGAGCAGAGAGATCCTTCCAACCCAAATTCCTGTCAAACACCTCCCCAATTTAGACTTTCATTTGAGCAAACTGCTTCCATATGCTCTAGCTAGCTCCCTCGCATTTCGGGGCATGAACTGGCCCATAAAACAATATTTAGACAACTAACACCCGTCTGATAGGAGGATAGGAGAGATTTAGGATGCTGTGACCTCAGCAGGCTCTTGTGTGTGTGTGATATGTGTATGTGTGTCCTCAAGCAGAATAGTATTGAATTACTCTATAAACTCCCTTACGCTTCAAGAACAACAAAGTAAGAAAAACCCAAGCTCCAAATAAGATTCTCTGTAGCTCAGCTGGAAAAGCACGGCACTTGTAACGCCAAGGTAGTGGGTTTGATCCCCGGGACCACCCATACACAAAAAAATTGATGCACACATGTCTGTAAGTCACTTTGGATAAAAGCGTCTGCTAAATGGCATATTATTATATTCTCCAAAAACACTGAAGTCACTCTCTAATTAAATACTCTTTGGTGCCAAAGTTGTTCACTGCGTAAAAAGCTTTAGATCATCCCAGTATAACATATAAGGTTATTACATTGTCAGAAACAGTGGTAACACCGTGTAGGTACATATTCATAAATGACATTTACAGTGGAATTGTTTGCGGGTCAATTGCATTGACGTGGACACAGGGCTCTAAACTGTGCGACCTGGTGTTTTAATTTGTGAGCACCATGCGACAAAAAACAAAACAAATATTTTGTACATTTATTTTTCATAATCATTTTTGTAATGATAAGGCCTCACTGTACCATAGTTTCCCGAGCGTAGATTCATTAGCGTCATGCTTGCACCATTAATACAGCAAAAACTGACCATAGGGTAACATTTAGAAAGCAAAAAAAAAGCTATAGTATTCCAAAATACGCACATGATTTTGATAGTGAATCACTGCATGTGTCGCATATACACACTGTTAACTTCAAAGTTAAATCATCACTTCGTGTATACAGTGTCTTGCAAAAGTATTCATCCCCCTTGGTGTTTTTCCTATTTTGTTACATTACAACCTGTAGTTTAAATTGATTTTTATTTGGATTTCATGTAATGGACATACACAAAATAGTCAAAATTGGTTAAGTGAAATTTAAATAAATAACGGAAAAGTGGTGCGTGCATTTGTATTCACCCCCTTCGCTATGAAGCCCCTAAATAAGATCTGGTGCAACCAATTACCTTCAGAAGTCACATAATTAGTTAAATAAAGTCCAGCTGTGTGCAATCTATGTGTCACATGATCTGTCACATGATCTCAGTATGTATCCACCTGTTCTGAAAGGCCCCAGAGTCTGCAACACCACTAAGCAAGGGGCACCTTTGTTGTGGAGATGTACAGATCAGGTTTGGGTTATAAAAAAATATCCGACACTATGAACATCCCTCGGAGCACCATTAAATCCATTATTAAAAAATGGAAAGAATATGGCACCACAACAAACCTGCCAAGAGAGGACCGCCCACCAAAACTCACGGACCAGGCAAGGAGGGTATTAATCGGAGAGGCAACAAAGAGACCAAAGATAACCCTGGAGGAGCTGCAAAGCTCCACAGCGGAGATTGGAGTATCTGTTCATAGGACCACTTTAAGCCGTACACTCCACAGAGCTGGATTGAAATTGAGCTTTTTGGCCATCAAGGAAAACGCTATGTCTGGTGCAAACCCAACACCTCTCATCACCCCGAGAACACTGTCCCTGGGGATGTTTTTCATCGGCAGGGACTGGGAAACTGGTCAGAATTGAAGGAATGATGGATGGTGCTAAATACAGGGTATTTCTTGAGGGAAACCTGTTTCAGTCTTCCAGAGATTTGAGACTGGGACGGAGGTTCACCTTCCAGCAGGACAATTACCATAAGCATGCTGCTAAAGCAACACTCGAGTTGTTTAAGGGGAAACATTGAAATGTCTTGGAATGGCCTAGTCAAAGCCCAGACCTCAATTCAAATTGAGAATCTGTGATATGACTTAAAGATTGCTGTACACCAGCGGAACCCATCCAACTTGAAGGAGCTGGAGCAGTTTTGCCTTGAAGAATGGGCAAAAATCCCAGTGGCTAGATGTGCCAAGCTTATAGAGACATACCCCAAGAGACTTGCAGCTGTAATTGCTGCAAAAGGTGGCTCTACAAAGTATTGACTTTGGGGGGGGGTGAAAAGTTCAGTTTTTTTGTCTTATTTCTTGTTTGTTTCACAATAAAAAATATTTTGCATCTTCAAAGTGGAAGGCATGTTGTGTAAATCAAATGATACAAACCCTCCAAAAATCAATTTTAATTCCAGGTTGTAAGGCAACAAAATAGGAAAAATGCCAAGGGGGGTGAATATTTTCGCAAGCCACTGTACCTATTTCAGTCTATCTATATACGGACAATGAGGTCTGGAACGTTGCATCTAGGACAGCCTGTGACTCAGCTCGTCCCATGTCTAATAATCTGAAATCATGTTTTTTCTGGAGAGTGAATGTGTTTCCCAAATGGGACGCGACCTTTGATACCGCAAGCATTCGTTACAGACCTGACAGTCTGGTGTGATGTCACACTTTGGCTGTTGATTGTCACACTGTCACTGAGGGCGTGATGTCATGGAGAAGGCGTTTTTCAGTGTGATAAATGTGTTAGCATTGTAGGCTACAGTCCAGGAACTAAGAATATGCCTCTGACAAGGTCTTTTAACGTCTACTTAACTTTAAAGATGCTAAGATCAGGTACCCATTTCTTTTGGCATGTCTGTATTTTCAATGATCTCAAAAGCCAGAAGTACTGAGAGTTCCCTGAATGAGATTCCCTTTCAGGAATGCAAATGCCATTCTCCCCTCTCTGTCCCTCCCTGATGAAAAAATGTATTTGACCCCTGAGAGAGAGAGGGGGAGAATTGTTTATACTTTAAAATGACTAAAACCAAATCGAAACTGTGCAGAAATGGTAATGGACCTACATTCATACACTTTCTTGACTGTGTCCAGCTCGCTAATAATCACAAAAATGAAAGCTAGACAGCTAGGGAGCATCGAAAAAGTTTTGACGGCGAGGACCTCATTGAAGACCGACACCCCTGAAGTAGACTGTACATGGGCTGGTGAAAGTGAACTAGCAGTGTTTGTACATTATTCCATGTATATCTCATACTGTACAGAAGACCTGTGTAAGAACAATTACCTCTCAAAGGTTAAGCATATGAACCCTTCCATCCACAAGTAACCCTTATAGGTGCACTATGCAGAAATCGAATGTAAGTTTACGTGACAAAACAAGCAAGTATCGTGTAGAAGATAATCATTGTACCATCTAAACCGCTGTGAAATATATTTTCCATAACCAAACATATTGTATATTCAGCTGTTTTGAAGCTGGTGTATAAAACCGAAAGTAAAAGACGCAAAAATGAAACTTAAGACGGGAAGCATAGAAATCCTGCACATAGAACAGATCTACCGCTTCTTAGACTTGCTTTCAATGAGAATGACAGATCTATAACACATATTTCTATGTGAATTTGGTCGGGTCACCCAAAAGGTTACATATTGCAGCTTTAAAATCCAGCTAGTCTTAAGATGAAAGGACAAAGACAGCATGGAGGGTAAGACTACTAGACTCTAAATAATACAACCATGGCATGCCATGAATTCTGCTTCCTTTGAACTCTGACTATATCAACAAGTATTTTTTTTATATGAAAAAAATGGAAAGATGTTTTTAACAAAAGCCTGCTTCTCAGAAAGACATACGAGACCTTCAGAACGTTTTAAACAATTTTTTATTGTTCCCTGGCCCACTGAACCAACTGTCTGTTCCCTGGCCCACTGAACCAACTGTCTCTTCCCTGGCCCACTGAACCAACTCCCCCACAGTCTCCAAACTAGTGTACACTGAAACAAGGCTTGACTTTGTCTCTTACTGATCTGAGATGACCTGAATGAGTAGCCTCAGTCCCAGGAGGCTGCTGAGGGGAGGAGGCTCATAATATTGGCTGAAATGGAGTGAATGGAATGGTATCAAACACATGAAAGCCATATGTTTCATGTGTTTGATACCATTCCATTTATTCCATTCCAGCCATTACTATGAGCTCGTCCTCCCCAATTAAGGTGCCACTAGCTACATGTGGCCTCAGAAGCCCTAGAATCAATCAACTCAAAGACTCCAGTGTTTGGGCCAGGACAATGACTTACCCCTGGGTTAGGGTATCAAACAGGCTTCCAAATCAATGATAGCCCTTTGACATGTATCCTGCCCTGTGAGACTTGGTGAACGCTAGTCAGGTGACCAACCATACCTGACCAGACTACGGGGGCATATAACTATAATTATATCAAACCCAGTTATCAGGAGTCTGTGATAAGTGAAAAATATAATTTAGAGTGCACATTTGGATGAATGTGTTAAAGCATTTCCAGACACTGGCTAGAATAGTTCTGATCCCCTTCTGCCACTGCCAGGGGGATATGTGGTCCCCCGCTAGCTTGACACTGCCTAGTTTTTATCCATTGTTTATTGATCGTTTTATTTATTGTATTTTACTAGTTTTAGTACAATAAACCCTCACTGGGGATCAATGCACCAAGCTGAGTCTTCATTGTTCAGGCCCACCTGTGCTTCCTTCATTTTGCGCTCCTTTTTAAACTCTGTTATCCTACTTACATTTACATTACATTTTAGTCATTCAGCAGACGCTCTTATCCAGAGCGACTTACAGTTAGTGAGTGCATACATTATTATTTTTATACTGGCCTCCCGTGGGAATTTAACCCACAACCCTGGCGTTGCAAACGCCATGCTCTATCAGCTGAGCTACATCCCTGCCGGCCATTCCCTCCCCTACCCTGGGCCAATTGTGCGCCGCCCCATAGGTCTCCCGGTCGCGGCCGGCTACGACAGAGCCTGGATTCAAACCAGGATCTCTAGTGGCACAGCTAGCACTGCAATGCAGTGCCTTAGACCACTGCGCCACTCGGGAGGTAGACGGGTATAGTAAATGATAGGGGACATCTTGAATCAGGAAGACAGGTATGGTAAATGATAGGGGACATCTTGAATCAGGTAGACAGGTATGGTAAATGATAGGGGACATCTTGAATCAGGTAGACAGGTATGGTAAATGATAGGGGACATCTTGAATCAGGTAGACAGGTATGGTAAATGATAGGGGACATCTTGAATCAGGTAGACAGGTATGGTAAATGATAGGGGACATCTTGAATCAGGTAGACAGGTATGGTAAATGATAGGGGACATCTTGAATCAGGTAGACAGGTATGGTAAATGATAGGGGACATCTTGAATCAGGTAGACAGGTATGGTAAATGATAGGGGACTACTTCTGATACGTTTATTTCTGGGATTTGCTTATTTGCTTATCTGACTGTGTGGATGAGGCATCCTTTAACAGGTACGGTTACTATGACTGTACAGTATAGCTGCTTTCTTTCATTTTACAGGATATACTGTGCATGACTAGGCAGAAGCGTGGGGTCCTGGGGGATCATACAAGAGGATTACACTGTTAATACTGTACTAGGAATAACATAACCCTACACTTTCTAGGTACTAATGGAATTACTTCGTTTCAAACATCTGGGCTCATATTCACAAAGAGTCTCAAATTAGGAGTGCTGATATAGCCTCGGTTTTGCCTTTTAGATCATAATGAATGAAGATTACATGGACAGGGGGACCTGATCCTAGATCAGCACTCCTACTCTAAGACGTTTTGTGAATACTGGCCCTGACCCTTACTGAAGTCGTAATAGTTGCATTCCCCAACCCTTCGTTATTTCCATCCATCATCCTCAGTGTCATATTTGCCTTGAGGAAGAAGCACCCTGGTGAAACAAGAGACAAATCCTCTTGACCGTTCCATTAAACATTCACTCGAATTAGAGACGTCCCCTGAGCTAACATTCCATTCCACTACTGGGCTGGCTAACTGCCATGCTTAGGGGAGGACACACTGTGTTTGTGTGTGTGTGTGTGTGTGTGTGTGTGTGTGTGTGTGTGTGTGTGGGTCCCATGTCTGTGAGATGGGGGTGCAGTCAGATATACAAGTCCTAGATTCTGAACTAGAACGATTCAGCTCAGTGAGCTAGAAAATTCCCTAAGTCTTCTGAGTCTTCTGAGCGGGACAATGAAAGGTGGTATGACACAGGCTGCGTTCTAAATGTCACCATATTCCCTATATAGTGCCCTATGTAGTGCCCTATATTCACTGTAAGTTATCGTAAAAACAACAGGATTTTATTTTTACAGTGTAGGGAATATGGTGCCACGCAGACACAGTAGAAAGAATCTGGGTCACGATGCCTGGTGAGGGATCGGAGTGGACAAAGGATGAGTGTCAGATTATTCTAAAGCCACGCTTTGGTTCACAGACCAGCTACAATCAAAGGGACACACAAAGACATAGCCACTAATCAGTGTCATTCTTGAGATGATTGGAATTTCTAGGCCACTGAATTTCACAGCCACTGTTATCTGACTTCTACTGCAGATGCGCCACAGCAACTTTTACTTTGAGTTGATATATGGGTCTAAAAGCAACTCACTTAACTGACAACACCCCTTAGTTGTGATACAGTTTATGCTCAAATAGCTTTACATTGTATGGGGGTTAGTGGCCTGTCCTACTCCCTCCGTCCCCATGCAACCCCTTCCCTCTCTCTCCCATGCTCTTGTGTAGGATAGCACATTCTCTCTCTCTCTCTCTCTCTCTCTCCCTCTCTCTCTCCTTCCCTCTCTCCCTCCCTCCCTTCCTTCCTTCCTTCCTTCCTTCTGGGGTAAGTTAGCACACCCATTCCCTAACACTCTCTCTCTCGCTCTCCCTTCCTTCTCTCTCTGTAGATAGGATATTACGGCCACAGGGTTCCCTTTACCTCAGCGTGGTTGCCAGCCGACAGGGTCTTGTTACAGCGTTTGCATTTCAGGCAGAACCGGTGCCAGTTCTTTCCCAGCGAGCTCACTTTCTCAGCTGCAGGACAGAAAGAGAGAGAAAATGACAACAAAATATAAACAATGGAGTTATTGTTTCCAGTAATTAACATATTTTGTTGCACCCCTGAGTGAGAATGCTGTACAAATATAACTCCAATGTGGTTATAGTGCCTCATCAATTTAAAATGTATAGGGGACAGATAGGAGTAAAGATGCTACACCTAGAATCTCCCCCGTGTGGAAGCTAGGCTGCATTCAAAACCAATCTCCATCTCCCCCGGATCCCATTTCCCCGTAACATGGCGGAGACTAGCACTTGAGACTTTTACTTTCGGTTTTGTTCCACCAGCTTCAAACAGCTGTAAAAACTATATTTTTTGTTATTGAAAATATATTTCCCAGCAATTTAGATGGTACAATAATTCGCTACACTATTCAGTGCTTGTTTTCTCACACAAACTGAAATTGAGCGAACAGTGTAGAATTTTAGTAAACAGGAAATGACAGAGCGATTTCTACAATGGCCACTTGAGCCGATTTCCACTAGATAACACAGCCACAAGGTCAAAACAGCTTTCCCATTTTGAAAAAAACAATAGGCAAATATCACAGCCAATCACAACACTGGCAGGTTAGTAATACTGTGAAACACTATCATTCAACTATTACTGCAGATATATTATGGACATTTTCAGAAATTGCAATGCAATTGTTTTACTAAATGGTATCTGTAGCACCTTTAAACCTTAAATGGTTGAGCATTTTGCCATGTAGTCACTGCCAGTTTGGAAGCCTTTGTTAAGGCCTCTAGAAGTGCAAGAGATATAAAACATATTCATAAATATGCTTTAATGTTTGTAAACACTTTACCTAGCAGCCAACCTGCCTGCACTAATCCCCTATAATTACACTAAAATACTGTGAAATACAAACCCCTCCCCTCATTAATTAATTAATCCATTTATTTATTCATTAATTAATTTACATTTACATTTTAGTAATTTAGCAGACGCTCTTATCCAGAGCGACTTACATTTATTCCGATTATGGTACCGTCTACATTTTTACAGTATAATACAGTCAATATTACAGTATTGTACCTTACACAGTACTTGCTTTGATACCGTATTTATATTACAGTAGGTGTACTGTAATATTAAATACAGAATTTTACTTCCCACCAAGCTGCCTGTAAGCTACTGTCAAAATCACGGTAACCCCTTTACAGTGTACATTGCATTCGGAAAGTATTCAGACCCCTTGACTTTTTCCACATTGTTACATTACAGCCCCCTGCATTGTCTTGGCTGTATTCTTAGGGTCGTTGTCCTGTTGGAAGGTGAACCTTCTCCCCAGTCTGAGGTCCTGAGCGCTCTGGAGCAGGTTTTCATCAAGGATCTCTCTGCACATTGCTCCGTTCATCTCCCAGTCCCTGCCGCTGAAAAACATCCCCACAGCATGATGCTGCCACCACCATTCTTCACCGTAGGGATGGTGCCAGGTTTCCTCCAGACGTGATGCTTGGCATTCAGGCCAAAGAGTTCAATCTTGGTTTCATCAGACCAGAGAATCTTGTTTCTCATGGTCTGAGAGTCTTTAGGTGCCTTTTGGCAAACTCCAAGCGAGCTGTCATGTGCCTTTTACTGAGGAGTGGCTTCTGTCTGGCCACTCTACCATAAAGGCCTGATTGGTGGAGTGCTGCAGAGATGGTTGTCCTTCTGGAAGGTTCTCCCATCTCCACAGAGGAACTCTAGAGCTCTGTCAGAGTGACCATCGGGTTCTTGGTCACCGCCTTGACCAAGGCCCTTCTCCCCGATTGCTCAGTTTGGCCAGGCGGCCAGCTCTAGGAAGAGTCTTGGTGGTTCCAAACTTCTTCCATTTAAGAATGATGGAGGCCACTTTGTTCTTGGGGATCTTCAATGCTGCAGATCTGTGCCTTGACACAACCCTGTCTCTGAGCTCTACGGTCAATTCCTTCGACCTCATGGCTTGGTTTTTGCTCTGACATGCACTGTCAACTGTGGGACCTTATATAGACAGGTGTGTGCCTATCCAAATCATGTCCAATCAATTGAATTTACCACAGGTGGACTCCAATCAAGTTGTAGAAACATCTCAAGGATGTTCAGTGGAAACAGGATGCACCTGAGCTCAATTTCGAGTCTAATAGCAAAGGGCCTGAATACTTATGTAAACAAGGTATTTCTGTTTTTTGTTTTTTGTTTTTTTTGCAAAGATTTCTAAAAACCTGTTTTCGCTTTGTCATTATGGGGTCTTGTGTGTAGATTGAAGAGGGAAAAAATAATTTAATCCATTTTAGAATAAGGCTGTAATGTAACAAAATGTGGAAAAAGTCAAGGGGTCTGAATACTTTCCGAATGCACTGTATATCTCCTTTTTGGAAAATTATACAAAGGGTTTCCTTTATGTTGTTTCACAGGGTAGGCTATAACCAACACAGACTTTGTACTCTACCCTCTCCCTGAAATGTTATTGGACATTTCGACCCCTCTCCCTCTGCCTATAACGGGTCACCACGCTCCAGCATAAATAAGGGTTCAATTTGCAGACAATAAATCAATAGACAAAAGTGTAACGTTATTTCAGCTCAGTTTTTCACTTCAAGTTAAAAACCTTGCGTTATAGCTATATTTTGCCCTGAAACAAATGTCTGAAAGAGACGAGAGTGAAAACAACCAAGAGCTGCAGCCTATAGCCTCCTTCCTAATCATCAAGATTCAACAAGTGGTTTAACTGATATAACCCGTGTAACCTTGCCTATAGGTTACGTTAAAGTAAAGCTACCTTAAAGTAAAGGAACATGTCAAGTGTTAACTCATCCTCGTTGAATGTCTTTCAATAATCAGTCAACATTCCAGAGACATCTGGTAAAGAATGTATGCGCAATTTTCACCAAACGTCACCTTTACCGTGTGAAAAGAGTCCTATTTTATGATAACAAAGTCTTCACGTATAGCCTATTCTGACGGTTCTGGATGAAAAACTCAACGAATCCAACGTAATCAGTCGGTACAACTTGGCATTCACGCCTCCGCAGCCCGCCAACACTCTCGGTGTCCCCCCAATGCCAAACAGTTTACATAACACATATTTTTCTCCTCTTCACAAAAGCATTTGCAAGACATACAGGGTTTGGATTCAATTATATTCTATTCATATCTGCACAAATTCTCCCTACAATAACCATTTCAATTTTTAATTTAATTTTCATTTAGTTATCGTAAATCATTACCATCACCCTTAAAAATATGCAATCCAAATTCTCTGATCATCTTTAATATTCAGATTATTTTTCATTGGCGCGGGCTATACATTTACAAAAATTATTCCTTACCAAAAAACACATTTTTTGTGCATCTGGGGCACCTCGACGTCATTCTTCAACAAAGCTTTGTCCATCTGATGATCTACTCCCACTCCAAAGACCTTAAAATTCGACCTGTGAGGTTGGCCTAATGATGCAGTGCCTTCAACTGTGTTCAACTTCAAGTAAAGGGACATCGGGGCTCCGCCTCCGAATGGGAGGTCTGGAGTAGGGTGCAGTTGACCCTAGATGCTGATCTTGGGCCAGTTTAGCATTTTCCCCACTTATTGTTAAGGTTTGGATTCAGGGAAGGGAAACTGATCCAAGATCTGTAGGCCTTCATAGGGGAAATTTCACCCCAGAGCAATGGGTGGTGTAGCCTACCGTGCCATCCTATTGAATGATCACACCCACTCTATTAAGAACAGGACATTGGAAACCTGTGGTACCCTGACATGAACCTGGGCTCGCGGCAGCAATCACCAGTGCTGTTGTGTCCATAACCAATTTATTTTGTAAGCCTACATGAGAAACATGTTTCCACCAGGGAAAGTGTAAAGGCATACCCTAACATCAACAATCAGAAACCCAGAATAAGCTAAATGTGTCGTTGAAACAAAAACATTTTACTGTATCCACTTTGCCCAGTGGAAACAGGACCTCCCATCAGCATCAGCTCTCACAGACGAACTCAAATCAAGATGATGCTACAGTCAGGCCAATTTCCTCCAAGTTGCCTACAATCCGAACCGTGTGTGGCTATCTGTCCCCACTCAATGGACAACGCTATCACACACCACACAAACTGCGTATGATTGATACGATCGTAGACTTTGTAAAGAAATTATAGGAGCATCAAATCATGTTTATAAGGGTAGCCTAATGTTGATATTGGCTAATAACCCTATGGAATTTCCTGTGGTATTTAATTTATTCGTTGAAATTACTATTAATTTTACAGACTGTGGCTTTACGTTATCCTCTCATGAACAAATATCTTGGCATATTGATATTACAAATATTAAAATTACATCAAAGGGTCTGCATTTTCTTTGACACAGAATTCATTCATTCAGGTCATTGTAATTGAACAAAATCACTGTCGCCAAGTCTACAACAGCCAATCAAAAGCCTTGGGAACAAGCGCCAAGGAACATGTGGGCAGTGATTTCCTGAATCCTGAGTGGTCCGACAATTTCCAAAGGTAGCGTCAAATCTATCTGTGGTAGCGGTGTTCACTGTACAGACAAGGCGGAAGATGTAGCCGGAGGCATTTGTTTGTTGTATAATGCATGTGAGTAGCAGTTGTGTATCTCTGTTTTAACCAATAGGCCTCAGTAAACAGCTGTAGGACTATTCGTGCCTTAGTCGCACTCGCACATAAGACGCGTTGGTACAGTGCAAACGGTGTCAAACGAGCAGGCTAAACTTCTAAAATCGGTTCATTTCGAATACAACTCCATGCACTGCACACGCGAACACATACATGTGGGCTTTTTATTCCCTGTTTCTGAAACACGATCAGTCATTAGCGGGGTCTAGTCTTTGCCACAATATGTAGGCTGTTTCCTCCAAACGTGGTCCTCACCTCCATTGTTTTTGTTGTCATAGCAGACTGTAAAAAATGATGCATCAACTAAATTTAAGAAATAGCCTACACGTAACCTGTAACTTCAAAACATGTCTCTCACCTACTCTTCACCAGGGTCGCTCCAGTCTTGGTAGTGATGGCCAAACAGAGCTCAACACTGGGTTCTCCCTCTTGGCTCCCATCTCTACTCCTTCTACCTGACTTAAGACAGTCTCTTTGGTAAAAAAGTATATCAGTTGGGTCATTTCACACAACATTTGCTAAGTCTGCTGTATGCAAGATACCTACCTGATTTACCAGACTTTCTAGCCCTGTATTACTAAGTTGATGCCTCAGCTGTGATGTGTTGTTTTGCCACTAAGTGGGGCTGTGGTACTGTGTTGTTTTGCCACTAGGTGGGGCTGTGGCACTGTGGTTCATGCGCCTTGTAGAAAAGTGAGCTGGGGATGATTACAATTTACTCCCTTTCTGTTGTTACGGTTGACTCCCTCTCAAAGATCTGATTGGTTTGGATTGGTATATACCATAGCGCTACAACTACATACTTCTGTCCCTCCCTGTTATGTTTAAAACGAAACCATAGGACTCAAAACAAATAATACACTGGGTGGTTCAAGCCCTGAATGCTGATAGCCTGACAGCCGTGGTATATCACGGGTATGACAAAACATTTACTTTTACTGTTCTAATTATGTTGGTAACCAGTTTATAATAGCAATAAGGGTCCTCAGGGGTTTGTGGTATATGGCCAAAATACCACAGCTCTTAGCCGTGGTATATTGGCCATATACCACACCCCCTCTGGCCTTATTGCTGAAATATATCGTAATGATACCACAATGCCCAGGCAGGAAGGGGGACAGAATCTGATAGGTGAAAATAATTCATTGTATCCATTCTGATCTGAATTTCTACATTCTGAACTAGGCCGATGATATTGGTATTCAAGGGGTTACATGGGCAGGGCTGGGGAGAGGTGCAGTCCCATCTCACTGTGTTGCATTTCTATGCAGGAAGCAATGCCTTTTGTTTTGGTGATAAGGCAATTCGCCCCATGGAACGATAGTGGAAAAATGGAGAAAAGGAGAGCGATAGAGGGAAGAATGCTAAACAAGCTGATGCTGCATTGCAGAGAAGGAGGTGGGGAGGAGGAGGGAAATACTGGTAGTATTAGGCTATGCCCAGGGATTCCCTGTGTTTTGCCGTGTTTCTCCTAGCTAGGTTATTTTCCAGATGGGGTGCAAAGGCCCCAAATCAACATCCAGGGCATCTTTGACCAAAATTATCAATTGAAACCCATTAAAGCCTAATTATTTTAGGCAGGGGGAAAGTGTTGGTGTCAGCCCACTCCTCCCCTCCTATAATGTACAATGGTAGGGGAGACGCTGGTGTGTTGTCATCACAATGATTACACCCAGCTCTCTTGAAAAAGCCTTGATGATTATTATATTATTATAGTGTGTTATAAATATTGTATATTTCCCCACAGAGCTTGTCATACTTCATAGTAGAGTTCTTCAAACCTCCTGGCAAAACTCCGGAATGAAAATAGAATGATTGCTTTATACAGTCTCATTGTGTGAGAGAGAAATATGCTCTCTTTTCCTAGAACATGAAGCAGGATTGGAGAGACAGTTCCAACTGGAGAAAGGCTTTCTAATATGTGGGTATAAAAAGGTAAGTATCATTTACGGCCGTTGGGGTCTACAAACATTGCACGACTTTCCAAGCTGCGTAAATGTATTTCAAATTTTCTCCATAGTTGCGTAATTTTTTTTCCATTCCTAAGGTGCGTATATTTTTTTGAAGTGGCATGATGTTTTCAGACTGGGCTCATGGTAAAATGATTTCTCTTTGACAGGACCCCACAGACTTTGAGTGGAGTTTCTGGAGTCACTTGGCTAGGAAGGCTCTGCAATGGACTCTGTTGGGCCATGCCGTGGTCTCCAGACTAGCCAGCTTCTTCGTTCCTAAGGTATAATATACAAGGAAAACACTAGCTGAAGTGGGACCTTAAAATGTTTTACCCCCATTTTTTTCTACAGACAAATTAGAACCAAAATATTGTAGCTTTGATGCTTTTTTGCTTTCCCCCTACCCACCAGTTCAGAGTGACATCTCTGTCGGCCTGCAGTGCGTTGCGGATTAAAGGAGTGGGCGTGGTCCTGGCCCATCTGGGCCTGTCATTGGCTGTTGCCCAGCTGCGTAAACCCGCCCTGTCCTGGAGCTGTGCCCTGCTGCTGCTCTCCACCCTCCACTTCTCTCTCTGTCTCTGTCTCTCTCTCTGTCTCTCTCTCTCTCAATTTAAGGGCTTTATTGGCATGGGAAACGTATGTTAACATTGCCAAAACAAGTGAAGTAGATAGTAAACAAAAGTGAAATAAACAATAAATATCAACAGTAAACATTACACTCAGAAGTTCCAAAATAATAAAGACATTTCAAATGTCATATTATGTATATTTACAGTGTTATAATGATGTGCAAATAGTTAAAGTACAAAAAGGAAAATAAATAAACATAAATAGGTTGTATTTACAATGGTGTTTGTTCTTCACTGGTTGCCCTTTTCTTGTGGCAGCAGGTCACAAATCTTGCTGCTGTGATGGCACACTGTGGTTTTTCACCCAGTAGATAAGGAAGTTTATCAAAATTGGGTTTGTTTTCGAATTCTTTGTGGATCTCTGTAATCTGAGGGAAATATGTGTCTCTAATATGGTCATACATTTGGCAGGTTAGGAAGTGCATCTCAGTTTCCACCTCATTTTGTGGGCAGTGTGCACATAGCCTGTCTTCTCTTGAGAGCCAGGTCTGCCTACGGCGGCCTTTCTCAATAGCAAGGCTATGCTCACTGAGTCTGTACATAGTCAAAGCTTTCCTTAAGTTTGGGTCAGTCACAGTGGTCGGGTATTCTGCCACTGTGTACTCTCTGTTTAGAGCCAAATAGCATTCTAGTTTGCTCAGTTTTTTTGTTAATTCTTTCCAATGTGTCAAGTAATTCTCTTTTTGTTTTCTCATGATTTGGTTGGGTCTAATTGTGTTGTTGTTGTTGTTGTCCTGGGGCTCTGTGGGGTCTGTTTGTGTTTGTGAACAGAGCCCCAGGACCAGCTTACTTAGGGGACTCTTCTCCAAGTTCATCTCTCTGTAGGTGATGGCTTTGTTATGGAAGGTTTGGGAATCGCTTCCTTTTAAGTGGTTATAGAATTTAACTACTATTTTCTGGATTTTGATGAATAGTGGGTATCGGCCTACTTCTGCTCTGCATGCATTATTTGGTGTTTTTCGTTGTACACAGAGGATATTTTTGCAGAATTCTGCATGCGGAGTCTCAATTTGGTGTTTGTCCCATTTTGTGAATTCTTGGTTGGTGAGCGGACCCCAGACCTCACAACCATTAAGGGCAATGGGTTCTATAACTGATTCAAGTATTTTTAGCCAGATCCTAATTGGTATGTCAAATGTTATGTTCCTTTTGATGGCATAAAAGGCCCTTCTTGCCTCTCAGAACGTTACCTGTGGCGCTGATGTTTAGGCCGAGGTATGTATTGTTTTTTGTGTGCTCTAGGGCAACAGTGTCTA